ATAAGTGATCACTGCAGAAGAGCCTCTGCTGAATCGCACTCCGCGGATGTGGACTAATCCTCCTGCAGGGGGAGTACGCTGTACCTGGGGAGTACGCCCTGCCTGCTACACCGGGACGTTCTAGCATAGTTCTAACTCACCGCCCTTGACTTTCACGCCGATGTGCTAGTGGGCTATTCACTTCCTTTCCTTCACCCAAGGTCATTACAGAATGACTTTATGAATAACGCATGCAGTTGATTAAAAATATGATGTTAAAATTTGGCAGGAAGACAATGCACAATTTAAATAAAACATAATTATGCTAATCTAGAATTTTAAAAAAATTTGTCGACAAGATTCAAATTTATTTTGTCATAGAAGGCATTGAACGCTTCCTGGAATCGATACCCTTGGAGTTGAAGTCACTCACTGAAAGCCGCTAGTGGCTCTGAGAGAAAATGGCGTAGGCACGCTTGGCGTTGAACCGGAAGCTCAGAGTTGAGTGGCTGTTGGAAGAAGAAACACACAGGAGGGGTATGTCGGTTTCGATGTCACTGTCTACTTTAATTGTCCTGTGATGAGTGTTGAGCAGTATATTGTTCAGATTCCAACGGAGCCGAGTGGTATAGATCAATCCCGCTGTTCAGAAATAATTGCCAGCCTTTAAAATTTTCCTTCCCGAGACGCGAAAGGAGTTGTTTCCGATGAACTTGTTGATCTGTCGAAGAATTGTGGCTCGGATTCGTTCGTGTGTGGGATTGTCCTCTACATTCATAAGGAATGCGGTGCCTTCGGGCTCGTACCGGCGATGCCAAACTTTGTCCAGCAGCCCGTACTATTCGAGAACCGACCTCAAGGGAGCCGTCTTAGGAATGATCGAAAAAGACGTTAAATCTAAAGATTGGCGGTTGTTTGTCTCCACATTGAGTGGCGATCAATTGTTAATAGTTCTAGAGACGCTCGATGAATTCGGAGCGGAACTGTCGGGAAAAACTCTGGTAACAGTCCTGACGTATCTTGCAAAATGTTCTGCATCTTCCGGAGATTTGAGGACCATCCAAGAATGCCGTCGGTTACTTTTCATTCTCTGCGGACCTGCATCGGTGCCAAGCGTATTGAATTTCCAGCAGTACGATGCAGAGTTCTTGTGGTTTGTTGAGAAAGATTTCTCCTCTTCTGTCGACATCTTGACCAAGCTATATTGTCGGTATCCGAACGAAAAAAGAAAAATCAGCAGTATGGCAGCGCATTTCATGTGGGACGCCGTGACTATCCCGGTTGAAGAAAAATTAGTTCGTTTGAAGAACCTCGTGGACAACGTTCGGATTTTTTTCAAAGGATGCTATAACATTCCGGCCCTTAATCTTTGGAGGCCATGTTTCTTGAGCAGCAATTTCAGTCTTCGACGGATGGCCGAAGTTATAATTGAAGAGAACCCGCGTTGTATCGAAATTCTACCGGGAAAGGTTGTGAATCTCGTGAAGGACGCCGTTGATCGAGATGACGTAGATTTTTATCATCGGATGATTGAGCTTGTGTTAAAATACCCCAACTTGCACGATTACCTCGCGCCACTCCTGAATGGTCTCCTTGTCCACCATTGTAAGGAGCGGTTAATTCGCAGTTGTTTTGAGTAGTCCTAATGTATCATTTCTTATGTATTCTACGGTAGGTGTTCGAGGAGACGTGAGAAACGTCGAAGAAGTGGTCAATTCAATATTAACTTTTGGGATCCGGATTTCACCCGAAAGTTTGCCGCTGTTCCTCAATTTTTTGTGTTCACATCGTGTCAAGATCCCCCGTGAGATTCTTCAGATGAAGTATGGTATTCACGACAAACCCAATCCCGTATTCCGGTGGGATTGAAACTTTTTTTTAATCGTCGCAAGGTCATCTTGAAAGTCCTCGTTCGTTTTTACAATTTTTATTGAAACCGCGTATTCTGATTTACTTCAATTTTACTTCCTCTTGTTATCGCACAGTGATCGTCGCTAAAATATCGGATTTTTTTCTCGAAGTTCGACAATTCTTTACACCGGAATCCATGAGAGAATATGGACGTTTCCTTTGCTCACGGAGCGTTTTTATCTTGTTTTTACGTTGCTGCTTTGTACATCTGGACACCGAAACCTGGTTTACCAAGGTCAGTTTTTTGCCCCTGACGGAGTTCCCTTTTTTAATGCCAGCGTAATCGCAGAGATGATCCCAGAACCGTCAAGCGAAGGTTTGCTAGCGTGTGCGTGTCCTGCATCGTCTCTTGCATTTACACGTATACATTTTCCGATGCAGATGTGAGTAATTCTGGACTCTTAATAGTCAAGGTCGCTCTTTATTCGTAAAGCATTTTTCCATCGTTAGAGTTTCGAGGAATTCAAGGATCTTACTGGACTGCGAACGGATCATCTTATGTCGGCGTCATTTCTACCGGTGTTATTGACTTCGCTTCTGTTTTTAGGACCCTTGGTTGTTCTCTGGCAGGAGCAAATGATTAAAAAACTATGTGGTATGAAGTTTTTATTTTTTATTTGAGCTGTTGTTTGTATGACTTTCTTTTTCGGTTTGTGCATCAGATCTTAGCTATTGGAGGGGAAGCATTTTCGACATTTTCTGGCTGAGAAACTATGTCGTCGCACCGTTTTCAGAAGAGCTTGTGTATAGAAGTTGCTTGATTGCCATGTTGTCTAAATCCACGAGATGTTTGCGTCTTGTGATGGTCTCGCCGCTATTTTTTGGCGTAGGTAAGATGTCGTTCAGAATTTGATATTCTCACTGTTCGAATTAAGAGAAAGTTTCTTTATTCAAGAAATAAATCTTGAAGTTGATATTTCCGAGCACGGTGACTGACGTAAATTTTTGTTTTAGCCCATGTTCACCATGTCATTGATAGCGTGGGGAAAGGAATTCCCGTGAAAACTGCTTTACTGATGGCAGGTTAGTTTTGAAATCTTTGGAATGCCATCATTGGTTCGTAATTTGACATCTGCTTGTATTTCAGTGTTCCAATTTGGGTACACGACACTTTTCGGTGCTTATTCCTCATTTTTACTCATGCGCACTGGTGAGTTATCGCGCTTTTTTATTCATGTGATGAAATGAGTTTGTTGGTAATATCCTTCATGAATGATGCAAATGCCGTATTATCATTCACGCATTTCATACTTCGTCAAATTCGGGCGTGCATAAACATTTTCAAGTATGAGGAGCTCAATGGAAGTTCTCTTCCATTTCTGTTTCCATATTAAGGTTCTCCGCTGTTATTCTGGATGCAGTTACGTCAGCTTGATGAAGTTTGGCTAATTTTTTGTAGACGGATCGAAGTCCAAACTTCGGAAAACTTGAATTCGATATTAGGGGTTTTTCTCTTGAAACTCGATTCCGAAAGCAAGTGTACAAAATGTATGTTCAAAATCCTGCTTAATTTCAGAATAAAACCACTTTTTACTTCTCAGAAAAAACGGTAGTGGAATAAGATGTTAGCGAATGAAATTTTTCAATTTTTATGATCATGCTAGTGATACTTAGAAATTTCAAGAGCATTAGAAGGGGTTTAATGAAGCAACTGAAGTCGCGGAAAATAAGCTCTATCCCAAATGATGCATTAACGTTCTCTGTTTTTGCAAGAGTGTACTGGACTGGTACCGTTTGTTGAGCATCAGAAAACTTGAAAATTTTGCAGGTCACTTCGTAAGTCCTCTGATAGCTCATGCATTTTGCAATGCAATGGGCTTCCCCGACTTCACTGCTATTTGGTACTCCGATGGAATTGAAGGACGCATTCGTCGAATGGCGTTATTTGGAGGCTTTTTAGCTTGGCTTGCATTACTATATCCCTTGACTGATCCACGGTTATACGGAGGCAGCGTGCACTGGACGCAGTGTTGACGACGGTGTTGTGGGAATCAATGTGTTCAGAATTTTACGGACAAAATTAAAAGAAGCAATGTTGTACCAGTGAATCCTACAGTGCTTTTCGTGACGAATCCTGATAAATTTCGGTGATTAGGAAGCGGCGATGAGTGCACTATTTTATTTACGCAGTGTTGCACTTCCGATAGTGCGTTCACGGCCCTGTGTGAGTTTTATTTATTATTTTACTCTTTGACCTCTGTATGATCGTCTTCAATTTTGTTACTCGGGATTAGGTTTCGTGGCTTTCTGGTCGTATAATGTCGAGTGAAGTAGAGAAGGCGCGGAAAGCAACGAAAGGTGGCGAGACGATATTTTCGAAAATTATCGACAAAGTTATACCCGCGGATATTATTCACGAGGATGAGCAGTGCATTGCGTTTCGTGATGTTAACCCGCAAGCCCCTGTTCATTTTCTTGTGATCCCAAGGAAACGAATCGCCATGTTGGATGATGTGAATCAAGATGATGCCCAGGTAATGCGTCATCGAGACGATAACCTTGAGCGATTTTTGAGCCAGAATCTTTCTATGTCCGAAAACCTTTCAGGTAATCTTGAGGTGCCAAATTATCTTCATTTTCTGGTTTTTCAGGTTAAATGAAGACATATTGTTTTCTAATTGAAATATTTAGATGCTTGTTTTGAATGGTGAACTGGCTAGTTTTGCTCCGGTTTCAAAAGGTAAAATCCGTGTTGAGAAGATGAATTGATGCATAAATCCTGAATTTATTGTGCTTCCATTTTCTGAGAAATTAACTGTTGAAGTTCCGCGTGATCTAGGTTCAAAGTCAATATGTATAACCAAACCACCTCAGTGCAATCTTATTAGTGACGAAATATATCGGAAATTTGGGCGAGTTGTATTTATTTTTTATAGACCACAATAAATAAGTAAATCTATGAAAATTCGTGTTTTGAACAGTTCTCCTAATCGGAAGGAACATTAAATAATTCGTTGAGGGTTGGGAACATGATAGTCTCCGATTAAGAAAAAATATTATTCCTCGATTTACTCACTCACGGATTTCATTTTCAGCTATTGGGACACTTGCTACTCGTTGCGAAGGACGTGGCCAAGAAAGAAAACCTTGTGGATGGATACAGACTTGGTGAGGCATCTATTATGCACCCTCCCATTCGTTAGGTCCAACTTGCGTTTTCTTACGCATGTTGGTGTTACAATGGGGAAATTAATGTCAAGTCGGAGGTTAATCTGACTCGGCTTTGTTTATTCGTACTGGCTGAGTTTCGTAGCTTCTGAACAAGATTCGAACCTCTTTTCACGAAAGTAAATTATTCATTTATGATATTTTGCGTTTTTATGCAATGTATTCCCCAGTGATCAACAACGGGAAGGACGGTGCTCAGAGTGTGTTTCACTTGCACATTCACGTTATGGGGAAGCGACAAATGGGTTGGCCACCCGGTTAACCGGAACGAAATTAGATCCGCTGCTTATATGATAACTATCCAGTTCGGTATTCTTCATTCGGTCTTGCGGAAAGGAATCTTCGGACGGTCTAGTGAACATGTGTTGAGATTCCGCCGCGTCTAAAATTCAAAGCAAGACAGAAAAAAATAATTGGTGAAATGTTTTCCTTTTTATTTTTTTTGGCTTGCGTTAATATTTTTAATGCAACACTCGACGGATATAATTGAATAGTAATCTGCCGACATGGCGGACGTGACGAGTATCGGAGGATCATCGCGTGAAAATCCGTTGTCGCGGAAATTGACGAAAATCCTCGACACGAGGCTAGAGACAGATAAGGTGAATTTTTATTTTTCGTAGCTTAGATGCCCGAATTTATGATTCTTCTTTTTTTTACAGGACCTGTTGGATTCATTGAATGAGCTGTCCAATTTCTTCACCGAAAACAATCTGCGAACCAGGAGAAATCTCCGTGGAGACATTGAAAAGAGAAGCCTCGACATCAACAAGGAGTTTTTAGAAAGTTTCCGAGATATCAAAGATTCTTTGGAATTACTGTACTCGGAAACGAAAATGATGAACCAGACTTGTGTCCAAATGCGGGATCGCCTCATCACAAGCAAAACGTCCGTTCAAGACTTGATCTCAGCAACGAATGAGCTGAAAGTGGAAAGAGAAAGGATCGACGTTCACAAAGCGTTAAGTGACGGCTTCTGTCGTACGTTTTTCCTGACTGCGGAGGAGAAGAAATTGTTGAGTAATGCCAGGGATTCTGGGGGAATATCGTCGGAGTTTTTTGACGCTCTGGACCGAGCAAAAGATGTGCATCGGAATTCTCAAGTATTGTTGCAGACTGGGCAGCAAAAAGCTGCCCTGGAAATTCGAGAAAACATGGCGTTGTTCCAGGTATGATCCAAATTAAAATTTTCCATATCCTTCGATTTGTAAAATCCATCTCATTTCAGGAAAGTGGCCTGGAGAAGTTGTATCGATGGGCACAGCAACAATGTCGCATGCGAGTAGGACTAAATTCACCCACTGAAATGAGTCCATTGCTCGTGAAAGGCATGGCTTATCTGCAGGATCGTCCGGCTTTATTCAGGTGACGACAATGTTACCTCCTAGTAAAAGTATTAATTTATTACTCAAATTATACAGATAAATATTAAAATTTTTAAAGTTTAGTTTTATTCTTAATTTAAAGTAAAATTTTTAAAAAACCAAAATTTCATAAAATATTAATGTTAGCAGCCTTCGTGGTGAAAAACAAAAATACTAATTCCGATTTTTGCATGGTGTTCAAGTTGAGTTGCCTGAAGAAGAAAAATTGTCGTGACATCTCCCGATGTCGGAAGATGACGAGACTAACGACTGGTTAATATCATCTAGTTTATGTCAACCCATTTATGCAGTACATATCATTATTTTGGTGGACTCGGTGTACACACTTTTTTGAAACCTGGATATGATTTACAAGAACGTCTTTTCGCTTGGTTTTATTCAGGTACATAATTGAGGAGTATTGCACTTACCAGAGAAATGAAATGGTGCGTGGATTCATCGATGCAATGACTCGTGAAGATGAAGGGAGGAAGCCAATCGAAATGCAAGCGCACGATCCGCCTCGTTATGTGGGTGACATGCTGGCTTGGGTTCATCAAACGGTGCCTTCCGAAATCGAGGCATTGGATCAGTTGCTCTCCAAGTGCAAAGAAGGCGTTGGTAAGTGGTTTATGTAGTGTTAAGTTAGATGATTTCTTTGGTAATGGTATTCCATTTCAGGAGGTGCGTCCGAGACATTGAAAGAGCTGAAGTTGAAAAGCATGGGGCAGATCACGGAAGGACTATGTCGGCCCTTGCGCACTAGGGTTGAGCAGGTTGTTCTGTCTGAACCGGGTGCTGTTCAACTTTCGATGCTGGATTCCACAGTTACTTTCTATGTCGGAACTTTACGACAAGTGAGCTGGTTTCACCGTAAATGCTATTCGGCAAATGTCTTCGATTACGGATGGCGTTTAATCTTGCGGAAAATGTTCACGCTATTGCGGTTTTCTTGTAGGTGCTTCCAGAAAAGGGTGCGTTGATGGCGGCACTTTCAGACTTAGCTTTGCTGACTCACAAAACTTTCCTGTCAGCGTTGAGTACTCAGGCTGTGACACTCGCAGAAAAGCTCAAAACTGGTGTGGTTGATGAAACCGAGAACATTGTCGGATATTTGGCCCCTCTTCCGATTGTTCATACCGTAGCAGCGTTGTTGAAAGATGTGTTGCAAGCTCAGTCCATGCTAGAGATTGAGCAACGAGAAGTGCCATTGGTACGTTGAATCTGTTGATATTCATGGGGAACCTTTGAAAAAGACGGCTTGGAATCATTTCGCTTCGGTACTTTGCAGCTAGAGTTTTACGAACCGCTGTTTGTTCACTGGTGCAACCTCTGAAATTAACAGCACTGTTGGGTAAAATCTTGATTGTTTCAAAAATTTTGAACATTTAGTCTGTGCGATCACATTTGTTTCTTTTTGTTTTTTTAGGCCCGAAAGCTGCAACGTTTTCTGAAAAATATGATCCTTGGTTACTTCAGCTTACGATGTACGGTGGTTGTAATTTTTGAGAAGTTTTAGTGACGAAAAATTCAGTTTTTGCGTAAAGTCAGCCTCTAACCGTTTATGGTACAGTATTTTGGATTTAGAATTTCAAAAATGCTTCTTTATCCACGCGGATAATGAGCTTGTGCAATTTTAGAGGCAAATAATAGGGAAGAATCTTTTTTTATTTCAAGGAAACACGAATGCTTTTTTTTATATTTCTTAAGTAAATGCTGCAAAGAATCTTCGTATGATTCTGTTTTGCCTTATCTTCGAAACAAAGTTTTTTCATATCGAAATGGAAAAATCTATCTCCGAATTGAGTTTGAAGTGCTAATTTTATTTTATTTTCTTCTAGATTCTGAATGCCGTCCTAGATCCATTCCTCACCGTCTTGCAAGAGAGTGTTGTCGGGATGACAACGGCTGAATCTGCGGCTTACATGATCAACTGTCTATATTTACTTCATTCCACCCTTTCACTTTATAACTTCACGAACGAGAAGGTGGGGAAGCTGAAGTCGATGATGGATGCAAATGTAGATGCATTGACGAACGAACAAGCTTCATTTTTGGTGCAACGACTCGGGCTCGGGCAGATTTACGTGGTTCTTCAGCAGCGTGCGTCTGGTGTTTCTCACGGCAACGTACCTTTGTCACAACTGCCGGGAATGGATCCGCTTGCGATTCAGACATTCAATGTTAGTATAGTACTGTATAGCTATTTTCCCTTCGTGGACGGACTGTCCTTTTAATTTATATCGAAATTTCAAATTTTAGACCTCAAAGATGAAATCGAACTTCGTAGAGTTTTTTGAGTAGATGCATCAAACAGGTTTCAGTCGAAATTAGATCTCTGTAAAGTAATTTGGAAATACATTTCACGTGAGTGTCTGGGTACCCCGTCTTCGTAAAAATAAGACGGGTGTCTTTTGTCTTCCAACCATTTTTTTTTTTAAGTTCGCTTCTTCTCATTTTCTGATTATGTTTGAAAATGTCCACTGGAAAATTGTCATTTAATTTTGAAGGAAACCCGTGATTTTTCGTTCTTCGGATTCCTGGTGACCCACTTAACTCGTCATTTTATTGAAATTTCATTTTTATGAACGACTGTTGAAATTAAATTTCATTAAATAAGAGCGAATATTTTTGCGTTAGTGTTCATATGACGTTTTCGAAAACTGAACGCGGTCGCTTACTAGGAAGAATTCATGTTTTCGGGGAAACATGAATTGAACGGAATATTTCAGACTTGCAAGATAATTTTGCATCGTTCAAACCTTTTCTTGTTTTGTCTACAGGCAAAATTCAACGCGTATTTGGCTCATGTGGATAGCTTGACTCTTACGCAAGTTTCGGCAGTGTTGAGTGCAACTGCAAGGAATGCCATCCGCCAAAAATGTTCGCAAGTGCTTCTCCTTATTTATAAACAACTTCACAAGGAAGTCAATGATCCTGCTAACGGCTACGATCCGACGAAGATGCTGACCAGTTCTCCAGAGCAGATCGAGACGCTTATTCAGTGATTTTTACCAAGTGATTACACCGTGTCGAATGCACCGTTTATCCTTTCACTGTGTTTGAATTGCAATACGTTGAGGTTGGTTTCAATGAAATGGCTTTTGGGGTGTGGAAACTTCATTCGTTCTTTTAATTTTTGGGTTTTTCTGGTTCAAATGCACATTTCTACACGATGGATTTTGAGCGTTTGTTCTGGAAGATCCTAGTGATGCCTGATGATGTAGGGCTGAATTATGTTTTTGTACGTCCAAGGAGAATGGAATTCGATTGCGCGTTATTAGACGCTCGTCTCGAGAGCTGCAATTTTTTGTTGAACAAAATCGCTGGACAGCAATGGACAAGTGTTGGCGGAATCGTGAAATTACGTGGTGTTCTGTCGGCTGAAAGAAAATATTTGGAAAAGGTAATGAACTTAAGGGTTTCCTCTTGACAATGAAGAATTCAAATTCTTTCCGGCTTTACTGTAAGGTGAAAAGGGATCCAAATGCTATTTGTAATCCAGTGCAAGCATTAACTAGCTCAAACTTGGATCATTTCGGTGGGCTTGTGGATTCTGTCGAGGCTTTGTTGGCTGTTGGGAGACGATGTCAGTCTGTGATGAAAAAATTCCGGCGAGAAGAGCCGAATTCTTGCCTTGACGTTGACGTTGTGGCAGATGAAGGCTCGACATGGATTAAAGTTGTTGCTAGGAATCCTATGGGAACGTTCAGCGTTTTTAGAGGTGAGAGCTTTGATGTACAGTATCAAAAATTAATGAAAATCTAAGCAGTTGCAATTAATTCTTTATAGACATTCGATTCAATGCTAAAAGTATTTGTGTACTTCAGATGCATCAGAGACTGGATACAGAACAATTGTAGGCGTTGGAGAACTTTGGCTAGAGATGGCGTCTCGCAACCCGCTTCGCTTTCGACCTCCTCAGGTATTCTTGAAAAAGTGTTTGGCAATCGTTGACGATGAAATCGACGTTTGTGTGATCTTTCCAGGTAGTTTTTCATTTTATCAAGGGAGTAAACAAAAAAGTAGCCGACGCGCTGGACTCCATCGGTGTGCGAGTTTCAGGGATTATTTTCCCATCGACGGGAGACTTTGATGTTGATCCGGCGAAACTTCGCCACGTCGATAATTTACCACCTGAACCGGAAAAGGTTGAATTTAACAGATTGAATTTAGATGTGACGACGCTTATCGCATATGTCAGCGCTTTGTCCAACAATGAAATCGGCTGTGATGCACAGGGTCGTAGAATCAGGTTCGAAAACCCCACTTTGAAACAGCAGTTGCAGTGGGAGATGGAATCGCGGGTGAAGAACCGGTTGGATGAAATTTTTGAAGGTTGGCCCGGGGTGTGGAATTGAAATTGTTCCATTTTCATTATGAATAAAATACTCATTTGAGCCTTCATTTCGAATATGCAATTCACCTTTGCTTTGTATATACAGTATATGTACAGTATATATATATTTTTGTTTTTTGCTCTGGGAAGCAAAAAGAGCTAAGGATAACTCTTCTGAAGAAATTTGTAACGTACTGTATTACATAATACATTTAAAGGCCTATTGTCTATTTAAGAGCTGCAATAAAGTACTCGTATTCGAGACATTCGACGCAATTCCATTCTGTTCTAGGAAAACAGCTGTTGTGCTGCAAAACAGCGTACATGGACTTCAAGAGTATCGTGACAACGGTTGGAGGCCCGAACGAGAAAAGATGGGCAGAAGAATTGGAGACGAAGCTTATCGTTGTTCCGGACATAGTCGAAAGCAATTTGTCGTCTAAAGTCCGGACATTTTCAAGTGGAAAAATCCGTTCAAGATCTCTTGTAATTTTTGGCACTGGGGATGAGATGAAAATCCCAACTGTAACAGGGAACGTCGCATTTTTGCGCAGTGTCCACGATCTGGTGAGCGTTTTTTTTTTTTTTTTTTTCCGTCCTTCTCGTGCATTTTTGACGGGATTTCGTGGGAAACAATTAGGCTTCTCATTTATAGTTGTGCGATGCTTTTTATTAAATTTAATGATGTCCTTTATTTATTTGCAGCACTTGAACTTGGTGACTATCACTCACCAAACGCGAGCTTTGAGTGAGATGAAGGAAATCCAGGTGGACGAAAAGGCTGGAAGTTTTGGAAACGTTTGATTTCCCAGGGACTTGGAGTGCTGGAGCCAAGAGCCTGAAGCAGATAATTTTTTGCTGGAGTGGAATGGAGCCTTGAGCAGGAAAATTTTTCTGTTGCTCTGGTCCAAAAGCCTGATGAAAATTATTAAAAAGAGGAAAATTTGCTTTAATACCCCCTGTTATGTCTGACTGGCTGTGTTAATAAAAATACCTCCCCTCCAATTTATTCCTCGAACCAAAACATGCATCTCCGTGTTGTTTGATTATCAGATACAACGCCTGTGGACTCCGTCTACCATGAAATTCGAGGGACAAGAAATTTTTTTTGTAGAGAACCATTATAACACGGTGGGGGAGGTATCCCTAAGTTTGTTGTGCAGATACAGTTTTGGAGAGAGTTAACCTGTACAATATTAGATTTCGAAATGGGGGCTTTGACGCTTTCACGGATCTCTCCTGCTGCTCAAATTAATTTTTGTTCCTTTTCTGGCTTTTCATCAAATCTGTGTATTTGTATCTTGTCTATGGTTTCCATTCATAAATTCATTCATTTTGTTGCGCAGTAACAGAAATTTGAGGCAATAAAATGGCTAATGTGAGAACAAATGAATGGCCTTTTCATTTGTGTGCTGGAATTCTATTCATTGAAATTGTCAAAAATGATCTAGGTACTCCATTTCAACAGGCAACTTTTTTTTCCGCCAGATATTCGTGGAAGAATTAAGTAGGTTCGTGTACGCAACTTCTTGTAGGGAATAATAAAAACTTCCTGAATTTATTTTCAGTATGACATGGCCGTGCGCTTTGGTTCCCATTAAAACTAGTTTTCATTTTGGGAAATATGGGTGAAGAGAACATCGCATGTCCGTGGATTTACATACAGATGCGAGTCTTCGAGGGACATGCTTATCATGATGGGTTACTGGAGAACTAATGTGAAAGCCATAGCGACATCTGTATTATGAAACGTTGAACTCATTCCCGTTAACCGCAGAGCAAGTTCAAGTAGCACGGCGTCTCTTAAACTGGATTCCTGCTTCAGTCCAGGAGATTATTATTGAAGTCTCTCATATTCGTCCAGTGTTACATCGGAAGTTCTCGGTAAATGACGGCTCTCGAATGAGTGACATCGCCGAGTTCTACGTATTCTCGAATCTGAAGTGTTTTTATTATTTTATGCTGTTGTCAACAGTGTATGTTCCTGGAAAGGTGTTCTTGCTCGTGGTTTGAGCTGGATTTGTACGAGAGGAAATCTGGAAGGTCAGATGTGCATTCGATCCCGGCTAATTTTTTGAACTCGTAGCGTGAACCGCTCACCGAGCTCACTAATATTGTCATAGAGGAATTATGCCGTCACGAAAGATCCGCCAGTCATGCGTGTTTGCTGATTGATTCCTGTTCCTATTGAACTTGTAGAATAATCGAGCTGCTGGTGTTTCAGGTGATGTGCTTGTGTCGTTTCGACGATGCCTCGCTCCGATGATAACGGTGAAAGTTGTTCGAAATCGTGGAATAATGCTCGCGTGTGACTTCACTCGCTTTTATTGCGGGTTCATCCTAATATCCCTTTAACTCACAGGTGGCTGTATTATTTTCCGTGAATTACGAAGTCTTATTGAGACTTGTGTCGCTTCCGCAGGACTTCCGCGATATTGCGAAGATACATCATCGCATCAAATCGAACGAAGAATGAGTCTCATGAGTGAGAGACACATGATTCGTAATGGTGTTGTCCCTGGGATGCACCAGTTGGCGGAACCAGTTTCAAACAAAAATCTTCCTCCATTGATGAATGGCGAAGTCAATGGAGATGAACCAGAGGATCCAGAAGACGGCACAATCGACATCGTCCCCCGCAACATAGTTTGCAATTTCAAAGTTGGGTGTCATTTGGACTTGAAGATGATCGCGTTGAAAGGGTGCAACGTCCAGTACCGCTCTGCCACCAATGTTGTTCTTATGAAGCTTCGTCGCCCGATGTGTACGGCTCATATCTGGTCTTCCGGAAGAGTAACGTGCACCGGGTCGAAAACTGAACCGGACGCAAAACGCGCTGCGCGGAAAGTAGCGCGGTTTCTTCAGAAACTTAAATTTCCTGTCAAGCTTCGGCACTACCGTATCGTCAACATCCTCGCCACGTGTTCGTTCCCATTTGGTGTGAAACTAGAGCATGTCGTTGGCTTGGATCGCAAAAACTCTTCCTATGAACCCGAATTGCATCCTGGCCTCACGTATAAAGTGTCAGATCTCAGTGCTGTGTTGAAAATTTTCAGTACCGGTAGCGTCACCATCACGGCCCCGAGCTTACGGAATGTTCAGATGGCTGTGGAACACGTATATCCCCTATGTTCCCAGTGTCGTAAGGTGAAGGAGTCATCAGGACGCAAAGAGGAGCTTGAGATTGAAGAGGAGGATTGGAACCTTGACTCCAATCCTGCTGCCGCCTTTTGATGCTTTTTGGACATCTGCATGGTGCTTCTCAGTTTTCATCTCACTTGTAAGCCTGCCTTCTTAGATATCGGTTCTGAAACATCTCTGAAAGCTAATTTTATTTAACTGAATTACTGTCCTTGAGTCAAGAAGGGTCTTTGGTGACGTGTTATAAGTTAGCCCTTACATATTGAAGTAAATTTAGCGTTTTTTTTTTTTACATCATTTCGATGGAATGGATTCCGAATGCCGGTGTTATTAGCATATTCAGAATATGACCAGCAATTTTTCGCAGCTCAATATAAATTCTTCACTGCTGTATATATGTGGATATGATAGTCACCATCATGCTTTTCAATATCTAGGGAAGCTGATGTTTGTTGATACAAATCCTGTATGACATAAATGCTCAATCTCGTGGAAACAAATTCTAGCCCGAAAATTAGGAATCTGATTCCGTTGCCCGCGAATTATGTAGTAAAGAATTCTTTATTTAATTTCAGTCTTTTGTTTGTATTGAGATACTGTATTATAAAGTGTGGGTCAGATTGAATCTTGCCGTTTATTCGCAATTCTGAGGTACCGCCTAGTTTTCGATCGCGTTTTACCCTCAGTAGTGTCCTCGATGCAAGTAGACGCTATCTATTACGTCATTCAGCTCGAAATAAGTTAGCCGCTCCGGTTGTGCTTGAAAGCCGACGAAGATACTCCACAGCAAATTAAATTATTCAAAGTTGATCGCCAGGGTGTGTAAAGCGTTGATGCGTTCATAATGTATTTTATTTTTTTTGCAGAAGCTGCGGAAATCATCGTTTGGCATGCTTCGTCTCCCTGAATAGGATCCCGGTTGGGCCAATCAATGTTTCCTGCGGATGGATTGAAGTGACTTGTGATTTTCTGACGTGAAAGTTGTCGCTGTCTTAATCGTAATTTACGATCGATGCGTTCTACACCTCTTTTCCCACTGAACCGTGAATTCGGATATTTTCCGAACGCGATTGAACTCCTTTTTTTCGTTCATTGTTTTTCCTGGTCGGTGATCGCTTTTGTAAAAGAAAGCCAGTTGCGGTCTGTTGACGCACTCGCCGATAACGAGCAGTTTTTCGATAGTCTCGCGTTTGGAAGGAGGGGACCAATCAATTTTCCACAGAGAAAGCATACTCGTTTTCTGTTCACTTGCCAGCTATATTAGTAAGCCTTAGAATTTTTTAAGCCTGAAGGTTACATCCTTACTTATTCATGCGCATGAAGATCGCAATTTTCTGCGTGTGTAATTCTTTTAAATTGATAACAGTTTCTTTGGAAGCTCAGTAATCAGCGTGATTTCCATGTTGATACTTGATGCGTTTCGCGTGTTTCTTTCTGAGCGACATTTTTCGATATTACTAAGTATATTTAAACACTTATCTTTAGGCCATATATTAACAAAATTGTTTTCACGAGGAACGGGTGGCAACGTGGTAAATTGTGGTTTCATAGCGAAGGCTTGTTTTACTAATTTTGAAATGGGTTCGAATCCCCATCTATCGTTTAAAGCAGTGGACCGAAAGAAGCCTATGTAGATTCATGTTTCGGAATTGGCGCGGCATTTTCTACAGAACGTTGTAAAAGCGAGTTCTTTTGTGGAGAGAGCTTTAAGAACTTGTAGAATCTATCATGATCTGGTTTTCACGGCAGCTTCTGGAATCAAAATTTCTTTTCACCAACTTTTTCATCGGGTGCGTGAAGTGCGTAAGTGGGCGTCTCTCTCATCAAAGACCAGTCGATAATCCGTGGGCATAGGATAATGTCTCTTCAGGACCAAGGCTTGCGCGATGGCTATTCAGTTTCGTGTGATCAGGCGACGAGCACAACGATGTGGCTGGTATCGTTATTTGTGCACAGTTTGGGTGATTTTAACCCCCCTCCCCGAAATCCCTCATGTTGGCGAGCCTGTCATGTTCGCCATGATTGTAGGCGTGTGGAGTTTAGTTGAAGTCCTTTTTTGTCGCTTGGATTTGTTTGGCCAGGTATGTTAGCTTGATGTGCGATGGTGTTGAGGTTATTTGTGAACATTTCTGCGGTGTAATTTGTGGTAGATTTCTGATCGTCATGACGCGTTTTGATTTTGCTGTTGCTTTTGAGGATAATTGTGCATATCCAGTCACATTATCGGTGCCTGACGGGTGTCTACTGAAAAGTAATAAGTTTTATGATGGCGGGTGTGGACGAGCTATGCGACGTCCGTCAATTCCGAAGAGCCAGGAGACCTGAACGTGTACTGTATTTAACATGTCCGAACGCAATATGCTTGTAATCGTAGTAGTAGCTCGTTATGTCCATAAGCTGAAGAGCGAAAATTTGTCTAGTAGGGCACGTATAAAGCAGAAATCGTTCCAGGTTCGAATGTGTCACCTCTCCGTTTTATATATTCGCAATCTCATAAGTTATGGGGATTATTTTGGATGGCAGTGATGATCGAGCGAATATTTCTTGTGGCAGTTCACCCCTCGTGACTCCTCTCAAATTCGAGTGCCTTCAAGCGTCCACGAAATTAAAACGAAAGAAAAAACTGTCAAAACATTACTTTTGAAAGTTGTGAGGATTTTTTTAAATTGGAGTTTTGCTCGTTAAGCTGTGATTCGATGAACACGAAGGGGACTCGGAAGGCGTGCGTTTCTCGAGACAAGGAGGAAGAAAACTCTGAGAATTATAGCCTTACTCTTGCGATAATTTCTATTTAATAAATACAGCCGACTCTGTTTTTTTTTTCGTGATTGGCTGTCCAGCAAATGTGTGCAGGAAGTGATCATTCGTGGGAGGACAGGCTCCGTTGTTGAACTTGTGTCAAACAGTAGCAGGGTCTTTCCGTTTAAACGCCGTTTTGCGTTGCGTGAATCACTTCGATAATTGACTTCGACCTTCTCGCGATTCGATTGCTTGGAGTCATGTTTGTCGATCGATTTTTCTCTCAATTGCTTGAGGGTGTTTTAAAAGGATAGAACCCAGAAAATGTTCCCGCGTTACCTCTGCACCCTAGGTTTGTTCAGGACGAACGGAGTTATTCTAAGTATAGTCGGAGGTTCCATCGACAGTTCGTGAATGAAAATATAGGCGATGCGGAAAGTAAAAAAGAAATTGTCTGTGCTTTTTATTTGTTTCTGCATGGGATGCTTGTTCGTAAAAATTCATAACCTCGCTTTTACCGTATTTATTCAATAGATCCATACGGCTATTCATGATTGCGTGGAGTGACGTGTGGGAGTTTCTCCCGAAGATTCGAGTGAAGTTGACGGTGTTCTTGCTCATCGTGAGCACATTCCTGCTGTTGGGATTCCTTGACTTCTTCACAAACCATGGGCCCAACAATTGTGAAATGACTTACATGTTTGAGAAACCAGAATATGTAGTATGTATCTACTTCAAATTCCACATTCTATGGCTATCGAAATTATGGGAGAGGGTCCATAACTTCTGAGAATTCTGGACATTTTGCGTCACCGGAGATTTTTTTTATCATTTATTAATTCAGAAGAGGGGAGAAAACGAACTTGGTTTGTGTCTCCTGAGATCTGATGCAGATATTTAATGGACATTTTAAGTCCCTCTTTTGGCCATCCTGACTGGATGTTGCATCACCTTGATATATCAAGAGTATTGCGAAGTTACAAAAATTTTTCAAGGCTGGTCATGCAAGTACTGGTGTATGTTCAGAATGCTTGAGATTTATTTTCTACACAGATGGAATCCAGTAAATTTAGGATTGCTAATTTCTCACTAAATTAAGAGTTTGACAAAGCTTCTTCAGCATGAAAAGGAATATTTATTCTAATCGCAGTAGTCTCAAAACTTGTGGACCATTTTCAGAAATTACTGTATCGGTTTCCCGTTTTACTATCTATTACTGTAGTCTGTTGGAAAGCTTCTATTGAATATTTTTGAATATTAATGTTTCGGAATTATAGATGCCTTAAAGCGTGCTAACTTTTTGGACGCCCCTCGGAATCACTACTCTAAAATATTCTTCTGTCGAATAACTTATCGACTTTTCATGTGCCAAGTGTCATAACATTGTGTCTCAGCGACGTGAAAATGCTTGCATATATTTTCGGCATCTAGGAGGTCGCTTTGAACAAGTCTGTCAAGACATCGTTCCCTCGCTATTCCCTGTACGTATACGGCGAAGGACGATATGCTCGAGACCTGGAAATGGGAAAATTAGATGGCATACCTGTAGTTTTTATTCCGGGAAATGCTGGGTCTTACCGCCAAGGTACGTTGTTGATGTTCTTGACATTCGCCACATGCTTCTAACGAAGTATGTATTCGTAGTTCGATCGCTTGCGTCGGTTTGTCTGCGGAAGCAATACGATAAAGGACTGAAGAGTGGTTTCGATTTCTTCACGATCGATTTCGACGAGGAGTTCTCTGCATTCTACGGAAAACTTCTGTACGATCAAACGCGGTTTCTTCAACAGGTCGTGAAGTCTGTTCTGGAACTTTACGGTGGACGTCGTGACGGTGTCGTTTTGATTGGGCATTCTATGGTTAGTACATCCTCTTGTGTTCCCTTGAATGTATGTTCCTGCTGCTCACTGTACTTGGATACAGTACAGTATTTCAGAGAACTATATAGGAATTCTGTATGCGTAAGACTGGTAAATTTAGAAGCTGGTTTACAAATTTTCCTGTGACTTATTAAGGTGATTTCATGGGGCTTTCTGAAAGAAAGGAACAGCTGCTCTGTATTCCCCCGCATCATTTAACCTTATTAAATTTCCTTAGCATCCAATTACAAATACGGTATATTTTCAGGTTAATTTATCTTTGAAATATCTTAATGAATGTGTATTGCGTATAATAAATTGTAAAAATTTTCGATCTTGGGACGCCCAAGCGTCTGAGGAAGATGCGATGAATCTTAATTCCGTCTTTTTTACATTTCAAACGGGCTGAGGAAGCATTATGACGATGATCAAGGAAGTATCGAGTGTAATTCAGGGGAATCATGAAAAACTGGAAGACTGACGAAATTTTGGAAATAGCCTTTGTATATCCCAAGTATGAATATTAAAGGCGAAGCGACACCAGGGGTGTGTAAAAAGTTATAAGAGGGAAGCACTTTGTTGAGAATCTTTCAAGTTGTAAAGCATTTGACGACTGTGTCATTTTGCCCATGCACAAGCCAGTATAAATATTTGAAATTAGAAAATGACGTGTGCAAAATCGACGATGTATCGATGAGAATTATTGAACTTCGCACTCGGGGATTTTCCTCCCGAGTACTTTTCTGCTAGCATGAATGGAGAATCATGCATTGTGCATACATACAGTATTTGCATTCTTTTAAATTCCAATGCATTTTTTAGGTGTTACGACTTCTTTCTATTTGAAAATATTTCTCACTCATCAAGTTCAGTAGCTGTAAAATACATCTTGTTTGTGCAGGGCAGACTTTTTCCCGTTGTTTCTTAAATCCTAAAACAGTGCTGTCCAAATCGGACGTGGCCAAGGGACACATTTCTGTGTCTCAGGGCCACATTGCCGAGGTGAAGATTGCTTGTGGGCCACAATAGAACATACTTTTTTAGGTTCAAAATGTTTTCCATTTTAAATTTGAAGTTTCCAACTTAATTCAATGCTATGCACTGACTCACACGCATAGCTTTACAGAGTTTTTGAAGGGTGGAGCATCTGAAAGAAGAATTTTAAAATTCATCTTTGAGTATGTATTTTGAATTGTGGCGGCTGTCACCTTCAAAATTATAGGGAAGAGACCTCGGGATTGATGAAGAGTCTCTCTGGGTCAGATCTGGCCCGCAGGCCGTATGTTGGGCAGCACTGACCTTAAAGTGAAAATTTCCGTGCTTATACTGTACAGTATTTGGCACATGGTGCGGGCAATGAATATCTTATTCATTGCGTAAATAGTATTTTCTTCTATAAAAGGGAGGAATTGTGGCCAGAGCCCTATTCGGACTGCCTGGTTTCAATCCGACGAATGTTCGGGTCATTTTCACGTTGGCTACACCACACGCATCTCCGGTGGCTGTGCCCGATTCTCTGGTGGCTGAATTCTATCGTGAGGTGGAGGAAGTATGGCGTGAAGGCTGCCGAAGCGGGGATTTTTCGCACGTGACGGTTGTCTCCATTACTGGTGGTTTCCGGGACGTTCAAGTATGGTCTGGTCTTGGGAAGCCGCGAGGAATTCCTGATGATTCTTTTATATCTACTGTGGTAAGCGTTGTTCGTCAGCAATTCAAATTCATCCCACCCAAAAATGTGAGCGACCTAATAGCGCACCTACCCGAAAAGCTGATGGTTCTTTCCTTTACTTATTTTTCACGAATGCTTTGAAGCTAATTTGCAATGTGAAATTCTTTTGCACTTTTCAGGAGTGCAAAATTGAAGGGAAATATGCTAATGGGGACGCTAAATTACCTCTGAAACTCCGGACTGTCCTTTTGATTGATTATTGAAATATTAATTCCCCAATCTCTCTTGTTGAATTTAAAGTGTCATACAAGCGTACTACTACTGTATTTGGTCAACTATTTGCTATGAATTTTTTGTCGTCGACTTCTGCTTTTTGACGCATTGCTCTTTTTACTAGAGGTGTTTGAAAATCCAGCTAAAAAAAGTGTCATATTCTTGAAATATGGCATGTTTTAATGTATTATGCGTCTGCATTAAATATACGGTTTTGATGGATTTAATGTCACGAGTTCATGAAATCATTTATGAGGCATGGTGTTTGTTTTTGGATGATATCCCACCTACTCTTTTGCTTTGACATTCGACAATAAAAAATGGAGTGGAGTTGATGCATTGTCCAAAAATAGTTGGGGTCGCATCTTGATCGTCCCATGAATGTTCCAAATTGCATGGAATCGAAACGTTAAAAAAACTTGCCCATGTACTGTACAGTACTGTATTTTGTTTTATCGACGTTATCTGGTTTCCGCGTTTTATAATTGTGTATTTAAAAGTTCAGAGATCAAAAATGACGTTTTTCAGTCAACGTCAATTCCGGATGTTTGGGTTGGCACCGACCACTTGTGCATTGTTTGGTGTAAACAATTGGTTTTGGCTTTATCTCGGGCTATTTTCGACATTGCTGACTTCGGATTCAAAAGAATCTCGACCGACCCGTCTTTGACCAGGCAAATATTGAACTACCATTTGAAAAAGGTACGTTGCTTAGATTTTTAGAGATAGGCTTTAAAAATTTGGTGAATTCTTGATTATTTTTTTCATAAATACGCAGAGATCTGGAGGCAAGAAATTTTGGTCAACATCGCACCCACCTGAAATAACGATGGATAAAGAAGCGTATTGGTGGGAATTGATCAAAAAGAGATGGAGCTTCACGTGGGAAGATTTTCCGAAGAAAACGTACGTCGCAGTGCCGCTATATGATGAAAAAGACTATGAAACTCTCACAGTTTTGGTGTCAAATCACAAAGAGAAAGATTGGCTTTTCGCCTGCAAAATGTTGGCCACGCAGAACTCTTTGAAATCTTGGTAAGTGGGACAAGTTTTCTTCTCAACAAATTTTTTTCAGGGACATGTTCTGTATAATTATTCAGGTCTGTCCAGTTGTTCTATTCAAGTTCGATTTTTTGGGAATTTCGTGTTTTATCAAAAGTGGGTTTCTTTTGAGTTTCAAGAGTTTAACTTTGAATTTATTTTCAAGTTCAAATGGAATCAATCTATCTCGTTTTGGACGGATAGTTCAAGGTACGCTGAAACGAAAGACAGTTGACCTGAATTTGAAGCACTTACGAGTGCAAAATTTTACGCACGCTGTCGTCCTCCATCCAGGTCCTCAGTATCATGTAAGTTATTCTGAGAATATTCTTTCTGTAATTACTTCAACTTGATCCAAGGAAGTTGTTTCGCTTATTTCGTTTTTAAGATCTCTGTCCCAATGTGAAGTTCGTAGGCGCAAAGCATTTTAAATTCAAGATTTTTTTCCATGTTCTCAGGTCACTGTTTTTGGAGATGTATATGAAAAGAAATCGAGAGTCCTGGAATTTTGGCCGAATTACTGGACATCTTACCTAACGCCAGCTGTGGTCATCTCTAGAACCGAACCCGGTGCTCTGAAATACAAAGTGATATTCAAGTCCGGATTCCAAAACATGTGTAAAGCGTATCACTTGATTGTTGATACGCTGACATGTAAAGGGACGGACTCGTCTGCGGCAGCTCATGGCTGGGTTGAATTTGGGGTTCCAGCAAATGCAGACCACGTTGTTGAAGCTTTGAGGTGAATAATTTTTGTAGCTTTTTAATTCAATGTATCACTACAGTATTCTGATGGTTACGTACGAAAGGAACAAGTCATTCGATAGCCTCGTGAGGTTCCGCTTTTTGCGCATGGTTAGGATTCTTTACCGCTTATCATTGAAAAGATAAACGTTTGAAACATTTTTAATATTTCCCAGATGAGAATACTTTTTGGGTACTTTTTTTTCAGTCGATATTCTCCCGTTAATAACAGATAATCGATGTGCACAAACAAGTGAGACAGTATTACGGTAAATCTCAAAACCCAAAATACTTTTTAAAATTCTTGATACTGATGAAAATTGAATTTATTTTTAAATTTTTGTTCTTGCATATAGATCTGAAGTTGGATCTGAGCAGCGTGTCAGATTGAAACTGCAGAGTGCGTACAACTTCTCGACCGGCGTTTTTCCTGAAGCGATCATCTACCTGAATCCTGACTGCGAATACTCCGTCAAGTAATTTATATTATTATTATAGCATTCTTCAATCAGATATCAATGTTTTCTAAGACAGAGATCTGTAATAATTTTTGAAGGCTGACGGCAGCATTTGAAGAAACGCTGGGACAGATGTGGAGGCTTTATTGTACTCAGTTGCCTGCGTACATTGCTGTGATTTTGCTGACGGGATTCATTGGCCAAGTGGAAGCTTTAGCGAAGGAAGGGAAATGTCCCTCCTTCCATTCAGCGTGCTGCTCATTAAAAGGCTTGTTGTTCATTGTGCTTCCGTTCAGGATTATATCATACTTGTTGATGTGAGTTAATTTCATGTTCGACGTGTGCGTTAATTCCTGGGTTGTACTTGTATAAATTTTCGCTTCTAGGACTCCTGGTGTACTGGACTGGGTCCCAGAAACCGACGTCTCAATTTTGGAAAGGGAAAATTTGGATCACATGCTGCTCCCTTTGTTGCTGTACTGTGCTGCTTTCCCGCTTGTTTATATTTTGAGTACCTGCTCGTGGCTTGTTGTTATGGCTTGTGGGAGTGCATTGCACCAATTGACATTGAGGTAAGAAATTGAAAATTGTTTTTCAGATCATTACAGCGTTAAGCATAAAAAGATTTTCCAAGAAATAGTCCAGTATTTTCATCGCATCGTAATATCGTATATTTCACGTCCAGCAACTCGAGTTCTCGTGACGAAATCCAATAATCCAATCAAAAACTTATTTTTGAGGTTTCTTAGTCTTTTGAAGAGTTAATGCGTTAACATTTTGCCTTCCTAAGATTCCCGTTATCTTTTTGGGCATATAAATTTGTTTGTGATTGTTTCCATTCGAAGCAAATTTGAATCTCTTTCAGGGTATTCACAAAGCTTGTTCGCGTGAAGGAACCCATCTCTGAGTTGGCAGTCGATGGACTAACGAGATTTCCAGCAATTGCCGTGATTTTACTCTTGGCTATAGGTCATGCAACTTCCGGGGGTTTTGCTTTGGTGCTTGGTCTCGTCTACTACTATATAAAGGTTATATATCTCTGAATTTGTTCGAAAAATCATCAACTGAACACACCAACCGTGTTGTCTTTCGTCTACTGGTACAGGTGTTCAAGTTCTATGAGGAGTTTGTTGAATCATTAGTTGCGAAAGGAGTCGGAGCAGCTGTGAGGACTGTGCGTGAAAGACTGGCGAGAAGTAATAATAGAGGTGGTGATTCGCGGCGTGAAGACGCGGAGGAAGTGAATAATTCTCAAGCTGATAACCGACGATCAAGTATCTCCGTAGGTGTGTGGCACTGTTCTAAATATTTCTGGTTCTGTTACAATACGTGGCCCACCGTCATTTTACAATATTTACCAACCTTTTAAACTAAGACTAACCATACTTGACTTTGATGGCATATTTATGCAAGAATCGGAATAAAACTAAATTTATTCATTATGCAAGAACATGTCGTTACAACAAACCCCCACGGGTGAAAATTCTTTATATATAGATTCGTGATTTTTAACAAATTTTAGACAGAAATTTCTTGGGAAATGGACAATAAGTACTGTGAAATGCTTCGACAACAAATAATTTAAGACTTGTTTTAATTTCGTAGTCACTTCAATGAATTGATTTTTTTATGTTGTACTTGCCCTTCTACTAATATGCAGTTTATCTTGAAAATTAAGCTGAAACAGAAGTAAATTTGGTAGAAATTGTTTCTTCCAAATCATCTTATTCATTGAAATGAAGTTAATTAATTAGTTAGTTAATGAAGTTAGTTCATTTCCAACATGCTGTTTACTTGAAAGAAAGGCTCACATCTTCAAATGGAGTTTAGGAATTTTCAAAAAAATATTTATTTATATGTATACATATGTATGAAACTACATACAAGAAATATGTATACAACTATGCATTTTCTTGATCACTAAATTTTAATGAGAAAACTTTGGCTTTTTTATGAATTCAGAACGCTGCGCCAGTAGATCTTTTAATTTTCTGAAAATTATATTTTAATAGTTGATGACTATTTGACTGATATTACTTCTTCATAGTCGCGATGGGCTGATCTATCATATCATAAAGAAGTTTCAGGTTCGTCGCAAGAGCCAAACGAAGGAGTTATTTCTCGCCGGCGATGGACGATCACATCGGCTAGTCGAACAACTCCGGAACGAGAAGAAGGCGTAGGTGATGGAGGAAATACTGTGCAGAATGAACTAGACATCGCAGAAGATAACAATCCTGAAATCGTGAACGAGGAGGAAGAAAATCTGGCAGATCTGATCAACATCAGAGCGCGGTTCCACTTCGGTGTCTTGATGTTATGGTTGTGGGCTGTGGCTGTAAATGTGTCGTCCGTACTGTCTTGGGCAACCAGACTCCGGTAAGTTTTGTGTTGATACGATGCATCAATGAGCTTATTTTCCCTTTTGAAATTCCGAATCGTTTCGGAATTTCAACTCACCGACTTTCTTTGCCGTTTTGGCTCTGTGAAGTCGGGTTTAAGTTACTATAGACTTGGTCAGATCGATAACTTTAACGATACCTGCTTGAAATTTGAGAGAAGTAGCATCAGTCGTTAGAATGAAAAAGAAAGACAAACGAATTTACGTGAAAGAAATAAATGAAGACTTTCTTTCTCCAGGTACTCCGTTCGATTGGATCCAGATCCCAGTGCCATGACGGGATTTTTGATTTTGCTCACAGCTGTTATCGTCTGGCAGCCAAATGTTCCTCACCTGAATCGGTAAGTTCGTTTTTATTATTATATATATTTTTTCGAATGAGTATGGTTCTTCTGAATGGGATGCAAATTTTGCTAGGACCCCTTGCATTGTACCACTAATTCCTTTCGGATTCTGATGCTTCATCTGAAATTCCGGAAGAATTGTAAACCTTGCTTATTATTCGCAGATCCAATTTCTTCATATCGCCGAAATGCTTACGGATTTTGGGCATTGCGATGTTGCTTTATGCGTCTGTGTCAACGTATCGATTGGGACCTTTGTTGGCGTTGTGTTTCATTTGGCTCGCAATGCACGAACGTTGGTCCAAGCCGAGCCAATGAGACTGAGGATTTTTCAAGGTGACATGCTTTATGCAAGTGATTCAGCGCAGGTGAACGGTGGCAGTGATTCAAGAAACGTCTTGTCTTTGATCCACGCTAGTGCCAAAAAGTATTGAGAATGTGGTGTTGGATCGAGGTTGTGGTTTTGACGAGTCCCGAGGTCTCGAGACTATCACGCGGCGATGGTTATGACAGCCAGTCAATTTTGGCGAAAGGCGTCCCAGTTATTTTATTTTTTTCGAAACACCGCGTCTTTTTTGCGTACGAATTAACGAAAGTTCCCAGTTGTTGCGCACGCTAATGTCACGTACGTCACCAGATGACCTAATTGTTTCTTACGATTATCGTTGAAACCGTTTGTGTTCCCTGACTTGCCCTTTGTTGAATCTGTTTTACCTTACATCGTACGTCGGGTTATGGGTCAGCTTTTTTTCTGTTTAATCGTGATACGCGAAATGAAAAAAAAAAAGCCTCGTGGGCGTGGGAATTTTTTTTTCATGAAATTTTAATGCGGTTGTGAGGAATAAAATGCAACGCGTTTTCGTCAATCACGAATCGAAAGTTGTTTTCTTCACACGAATATGTTCTGTGATATCACGAGATACTGTTCATCCCCCCCCCCCCCCCCCACAAATATTCAGATTTTTGTGGATCTCTGGGACAATTTTGACTGAATGTCAAGATCTATTGGTTATCATTCTGGATTTTTAATAAATCCAGGACGTTAAAATTGAACGCGCTAGTTTTCCTGAAAATATTGAACTTCTGGTTCAAACTTGAGGTTATTGGGGGGGGGGGGGATTTACGCACTCCTCATTAGTTGAGGGTTGAATGCCTCATCGTCGGAAAATACAGTATCTTATTGCCTTTGCCCTGAGTGCATGGTGTTTTTAATGTCCTCGTCAATTGTAAAAATAAGAAATTCTTCCACTGCAGACATTTTTGTGTTTACAATGATGTGCTCTAGCGATTGCCCCGTGAGTGGACTTCTCGCCGGTGAAATATCTGCCATTTCGTTCAAAAGCTCTTCGTTCATTCCGAATGGAAAAACATAACGAATGATTCATCCCTGTTGTTCCTGTTTTATCAGCAGCAGTCACGGTTAGACGGCTGGCCTAAAAAATTGATTTTGTTTTACTTGCTCCAGAATCTTTCCTGCTGTTTTTTTGTATATCAGTGATTTTTTGCATTTCTGAGAAAGTTACACCTGCAGTGCAAATGAAGTACTGTATAGGTTGATGGAGAATTTTCAGTGCAAAACATAAAAATTCTGCCAGTTGATTGTTCACTCAATATTGATTGATGAACAAACTTCATTTTCTGATTTTCAGCGTTCACAAGGTTCAAACAAGGTTCCCACATCCTAACCCCCTATCCCCTCCCCACCCACGTTCCATCACATCAGAATGAAAATAGAGAAATCAGCTGTTCATGGGTATTAAAGAAAAGGAAAATGCATCACAAAATGTAAAAATGCACAACTGATGTAAATGCATACGTTTGTTCCCCTCAATAGATAACAAAAAGAAAATATCAGTAACAACAATTGCATCATAATGCGATTGAAAAACACAAATAAAATCACAAGGTGTTCAGCCTGCTGCCAGATAAGTTTTAGTTGATCAAACAATTTGGCATGAATCATTGAAGAGAAATTGTGTAAAGCTAACAGCAGCTTATCTTGGTCCTCAAAGATTTTGGAAAGAGACTTTTCATCAAATTTTTAAGAGTCCCAAATATTTTTGAAGCTCACTTCTGTAACTGTGGAATGCTGGGCATAAGAAAAGAAGGTGCTCTGGTGATGCATTAACCAATGTATTTATACTGCAGAAATGACACAACTTGGACAATTATTTTACACTCAAAGATGATGTCTCCATGCACAACTGGGGTGTTTCCCGCATTTTCTACCTGATTGAATAATGCATTGCTTCAGAATTCAAATTACAGTTTTTATGCTTTAATAATGCAGCAGAAAAATTTTGTTACAACAACATTTTCAGAATAACAAAACTTTTCTTCAAGTCCAGGCCGAAATCCTCCAGGGCTCATGTTCTAACCTGTATACCTTGATACCTCTGATTTAAAAAAAAAGAATTGTGCTCACCCATGACATTCTAAAAATGTTGTATTTTATTTGTAAGCTTTTAAAGACAGTTTTCAAAGCAATGGAATTTTCGTCAATAACGAAACTTTTTTCAAGGTCCCAATAAGGCTTCATTGTAGGGAGACTCGACTGTATATATACAGTACATTATTTTATTCCATCCCGGAAATTCCCCGAAATTTTCGTGAGAGCCTTCCATGTAAGGGCATCCTTCCTGATGCAAAGCGTGTGTGTGTGTCTCCATCACAGTCCATAAAGGCGGAAAAAACAAAGGCGACTCGCTTGATGGACATCGTTGTTCTCCCACGATGCTGCAATTCGATCGTCGGTCGCGCGGAGTCAGATTGTAACTCTGAGACGAGCCTTTGTTGTTGTTGTTACTGCTTTTTTGCGATTGTACGCAATCACTTCCGCGAAAATCGATCATTCACTGCAGGGTTTCCGGAAGACGTCCGCTTTCCATGATAATTTTTCTATCCTATATATTCGAAGAGGCGGGTGTGAATGTGTGATCCAATTGTGCTGAATGTGATAGCACGTATTTGAGTCATGGAGCCATCGATTTTAATTCAAGATTTTTGAAATCTGTTGATAGTATACAGTAATGTATTTGGAATTCGAATAGCTGCTGTGTCTTCGATTTACCACGCCCAACAAAATTGCGAGTCAATATGTAAGGAAATAATTCGAGTAAGAGTATAGCTGCTGTAAAACAGTGTAATTTTAACTTGAATCATTAGTCTTCAATCATCCGTGATTTTTTGTAAGCAGGGGCACTTTTTACTGGAACGGATATTTGATTTAAATGAGTGATATACGGTATACTCTGTAGAGTACATATTTTTTTTAATTGAAAAGCGGGAAATTTATTTTTCCGATCATTCGAAGTCTTGTGGACAACTCCCTCCATCTGCTGATTCTCTGAGCTAGTTCAGTCTTCCTGCTGGCTGAACAGATAAATTTGGTCAAAAATTTAAAATCCTTCTTTTTATTTCAAGCATTTTTTTAAATGTGTCATCCAATAACGGCGAGACCCTTTGCGAAGAATAGAATCGATTTGCAATGCCTCAAAACATTCAATTAAGGGGAGGGCTGGAAAATGGGCTATTTTAGTTATTTCGAAAGCGTTTCGGAAGAGTAAAGTTATACCACGATGATAAAGAAACCTGAGTTTTTAGATGGAAAAAATCATATAATTATGTCGTGGTTATTCTTGACACGACTATCTGTCCCAAGAAGACGGAACGAACTTCTGTCGACACTCGACATTGCATTGTTACCCGTATACTCGGAAGAAGATTGTAGGAAGTCTATATTCGTGATTTCCGGATGGAAGTTGGGTAATGTCCGACATCGGAGCGGAAATATAACTTGTCTGATCTGCCGTGAAGTTTGGATTGAAGAAGGCTTTTTTACGTAACTTCCAGGAAAAAATGCTCAGCTTGGTTGAAGACAAAAGGAAAAAAAAACTCGTTTGAACATACAGTATTGAAAGAATCGTTTGTGACGTGGAGAAGCATTACGGTAACCGACGATACGTTGCAATTCCTTTTTCTTCGTGAATCTATTTTCAAAAGTACCAGTTTGTTAATAGAGGAAAGAAACACATCTCCATTGCTTCCAAAGAAAAGTGGTTCATATGTTCCAGGCATCCTAAAATATTCGAAATGAAAATTCAACAGTTTTCCCCAGGAATTTCTCCTATGCTGAAAAATGTAATCTCATAGCCCCGAGGATTTTCAGTTTTCCCCCAAATAAACTAAAAGGTTCAATGTTCTTCTACACAGTGTCAAAAGACTCAAAATTTATCCTTTTTTTCATGAGCAAAACCATGAACAGAACCTCTCATCCCAAGTCAAATTTCAAGGAACCAGCAAAAAATTTGACTTAGGGAGGTTTTGAATTATAGAGGTTTGAGCTACAATAAAAGGCCCTTTTGTTGTGGGAAACATCGAAAAATTACCCAACATTTTAAATGGTGATATTCTGGGGCTTCAATTGTTTCTTAAATGAGTTGAAAGGATGCTGAACTTGGAGGCAGGGGTTCATGCTGTGCCCAATTAAGTCTTTCACTTATACTTTTAAAGCACATCAATCCATGCTTTTATTGCTTTTTTCTTGTGTCAAGAAAATAATAACCAACAGGCAACAAAAAATGGGCTTATAGAGGTTTGAGGGGAAAAGCCTTTGACTTTGGAAGGTGTTTAATGTAATGTTTGTAAGGGGATTCAGACAGGGACCTGAAAAAAAATTTGACTTAGGGGGTATTTGACTTAAGGAGGTTTGAGTTATGAAGGTTCACTTGTACCTCAATTAAATTGTATTCTTTCAAGTAATTATTCACCTGAATCTGTCTGAGTCAATTAGAATTTTGTAGCATTCTGTTTTTAGCTTAGAATCAAAAAGAAAATGTCTCAAATGCAGTTCAACCTTGATAACTCAAACCTTCTTAAGTCAAATACCTTCCTGAGTCAATTATTTTAAAGTCACTGTCTGAATGTCTTTAGTAACAATGGATTATAAACCTTTCTAACTGGTAAATACAATAAAAATTCCTCTTTGAAAATCATTAACTCTACTTTTCAGGAGGCATTTTGGCCAAAAGCCATTAAAATAAAACTTGATACGTTTAGAAAGGAAAATAAAGAATAATGGGGCAAATAAACCCTTGCCTCCACATTCAGCATCCTGTCAACTTTTTAAAGAAGCAAATTAAGGTCCAGAATTCAATTTCCTGTAATCCTTCCTTCTCTCCCCCCACAAAAGTGCTTGTTTCTATAACTGGAAATTTTCTTAAGTCGATTTTTTTTCTGATCCCTTGAAGGTCAACTTGAAGAGGTTCCCCTATATTTCTTCTGCCTTGTTAAAGATGGTCAGTTTCTCCAACTCAAAATAAAAACATATTGTTATTATTCCAAGTATTATGCCTGATGAGTGATGTAGACAAAAGCATAGTAGATGTGCTGAAAATGAATAAAACCCCCATTTTGAAACTATTTCAAGCGTATAGTGATTGATCGAATGCACGGGACCGAAGTTAAGTTGAAAGCACAGCATGAAAAAAAAACTGACAGCAATCGCGTGCTTAGTTCCAGTATCGTCGTCACGCATCGTTCGTTCAGCCACTTGACGCCCCATCAGAGTTGTAAAAATAAAAAGGCTCCTCAATAAATATCTCACTTTATTTCACTTACTTTCGTTGCAAATAAAGCGTATTAAACAGTGTCGCAGTCGTTTCCTCGACTTCAGCATCTGGAGAAAAAAAAAGTACCTACTCGAGATAATTCATTCTTCTCCGCATGAATATTAAGAATGACATGCAATTCAGATAATGCCATAAGAACTTTGTGTAAACCCTTAATTTACCTCGTGATGGACGGCGATGTGTCACTGTGACATGAAATCAACCGAGACATAAGTGACTCACTTGACTTTTTTGTCACGGTCAAAATGA